TTACCAAATAAAGAAAACTATTCTTTACTTTCTTTGTTCTAGGTTGGCCTTGAACTCAGAAATTACCTTGCCTCACTCTCTTGGGATTAAAGATGTATACTATCATGTATAAACACAAAGCTTTTCAGAGCCAGTATTCTCAAGATCTCTATCCACAGTTACTGTAATACCACGGCAGGATTTTGACCAAAACCCTATGTTTTCTAGCCCTTGATCTGGATCTCTGATTTTTCTCCCATTTATGGATTTTAGTTCACAACATATGTAGTCATGTTTACAGCTGACAGCAGCCATCCACATCCATCTCTTGGCCATTTGAATCAGAATCATATCTTCTTTTGTCCAAATGAAAAAAAATACCTGCAGCATTAAAAGCCTTATATAATTTAAACCATACCTTTCTCAACTGAAAATCAAAAAGAGAATCCCTAGCTCGGGAGGATATTTCCCCCTGGACAATTCTCAGTTACTTCCATTTAGTATCTTTGGATGCATGATTTAACACCATTCTACTTCCTGAAACCCTGTTGTGAACACTATCTTTGATCCCCTCTATTTTGGGCGTTTGTTTTCCCATTTTACTCTACTTCTTGAAATGTTTCACATAAGAATGAACAACATAGGAGGCTTTTCTGTTCCTGCAGCAGCGGTGCTGAGCGAAGTGGGAGCTTTGAAAAATTAAATAGTACTTCCTAGACCCATCAAGAAGGAGAATGTCTGTGACACTGCATACAGACGTGGGGGATATCAAGATAGAAGTCTTCTGTGAGAGGACACCCAAAACATGTGAGAATTTCTTGGCTCTTTGTGCCAGTAATTACTACAACGGCTGTGTGTTTCATAGAAATATCAAGGGCTTCATGGTTCAAACAGGAGATCCAACAGGTACTGGAAGAGGAGGTAGCAGTATATGGGGCAAGAAGTTTGAGGATGAATACAGTGAATATCTGAAGCACAATGTTCGAGGTGTTGTATCTATGGCTAATAATGGCCCAAATACCAATGGATCTCAGTTCTTCATCACCTATGGCAAGCAGCCGCACTTGGACATGAAATATACAGTGTTTGGGAAGATAATAGATGGTCTGGAGACTTTGGATGAATTGGAGAAGTTACCAGTA